GGCATCGATCTCCTGGTGACTACTGTAAGCAATCTGGGAGATTTTAATAGGATATTTTAAGAAAATGACATTACATCATGTTGGGAAAAATAATTTCCCGGAATAGCTCCAGTCAGAGTTGGCAACCCTACTGACCATCTTGGTTCATAGCCATTGCTGGACCTATCCTCCATGAACATAACCGGTTGTTTTCTGAACCCACTTATACTTTTGGCAGTCAGAACGTTCCATGACAACGAGTTCCATGGTTAGCTGTGTATTGTGTGAAAAAGTACTTCCTCTTGCTTGTATTAAACCTGTTGCCTATTCATTTCATTGACTAACCCCTTGTTATTGTCTTGTTGGAAAGAGTAAATAACACATTTCTATTCATTTTTTCCACACCAGTCATGGTTTTAGAGACCTCTGTCAGATCCTCCCTTAGTCGTCTCGTTTTTGAGCTGAACAGCCCTGATATTTTTAGTTTCTTCTCATATGGAATCATTCCATCCCCTAAATCATCTTTGTTGCCCTTCTCTGAACCTTTTTCTGTTCCACTCTATTCCTTTTGAGATGGGGCAACCAGAACATGGTGTGGGTGCACCATGGATTTATATAGTGGCAATATATTTTCTGTCTTATTCTCTATCCCTTTCCTAATAGTTCCTAAAATTCCGTTAGCCTTTTTGACAGCTGCTGCGAATTGAGTAGAAGTTCTCAGAGCACTATTCAGGGTGTCTCCAAGATCTCTTTCTTGGGTAGTTAACAGCTAATTTAGACCCCATCTTTCTGTGCATGTGAGGGTGGGGATGGGATTATTTTTTTCAATGTAAACTATTTTGCATTTATCAATGTTAATTTTCATCAACCATTTTTTTTTGCCCAGTCAACAACTTTTGTGAGATCTCTCTGTAATTCCTTGCAGTCTGCTTAGATATAACTTTCTTGAATAATTTTGTATCATCTGCAAACTTTGCCACATCACTGTTTACCCCCTTTTCCAGATCATTAAAGAATATGTTGAAGAGCACAAGTCCTAGTATAGATCCTTGGAGGACCCACCGTTCACCTCTCTCCATTGTGAAAACTGACCATTTATTCCTATCCCTTTTTTCTATCTTTCAACCCACCACTGATCCATGAGAGGACCTTCCCTCTTATCCCATGGCTACTTTCCTTAAGAAGTTTTGGTGTGGGAACTTGTCAAAGGCTTGCTGAAAAATCTAGGTCCATTTTGGCCTACAGCTTTCCTTGTTTTGGAAAAGATGATCAGCTTTGATTTTTCCCTTATTTGTTGATCTCCATTTTCTGAGTGGGAGCTAGGTGGCATTCAGAGAAGTTGTAAATTTGCTTGATGGACTGGCTTGCTAAACTCCTGAGTACGTAAGCCCAACTGAGCTGTCTGCTCCAAATAGTTTAGGGTGATTTTGACATAATTGTACTACATTCCTTGTCCCTCATTAAGCAATTTGAAATAGCTGTGATTATAAACACACAGGCTGAGGGCACACACTCTCTCATTGCTGGACTTTGTTACGATTACACTTCTAGAAAGCATGATCAAAAGAGCAGCATCAATTATATGATCTGAATACCACTTCTGCCTTGTAATAACAGTTGTAAGGGGGGAAGGAGGCTTGTGAATAAGGCCTGGGACTGGGAACCATGAGGCCTGGCTTTATCACAGAACTTCCTGTGTGACAAAGGGCAAGTCTCTGAAGCTTTCCCTACCGTCTATAAAATAGGACTGTTAATACCTGCTTCATGGGAGTATTTTCAGATTTAATTAATTAATATTTGTAAAGTGAACGTTCCTTGGCTGGAAGAGAAGGTGCCATATACATGTGAAGTATTAGTATGGCCACTCAAAGACATGATGTCAGCCATTTAAGTCAATGATTTATCCAGAAAGTCTTCTCTCATGTTTTGTTTTCCTGATAAACTTTTTCTGTCTTTACATGAATCACATGTAAAGTCTGTAAGAGATTGTCAGAGACACTTTTTCAAATAAAAAGCATCCATTTGCTTTGAGAGTATTTTTGAGCCCTTTTATTTACTTTTGCAAATGTCTGTACTTCTTACATTTTGTTTGGAAGAACATATTTAGGAAATTGGAAATTATACAAAAACCTTGTGCAAATACCAGTGGACACGCTGGTTCAGGAAATACTAGACATTTCAGAGTCATTCCCCATACTTAAGAAGGGGAATACTTCCAGAACCAGGAATCTCTCTACAGCTGGCATCCACTTCATATTCATGTGACTATATATTAAAGCAAGCATGCATGCAGGAAATGTCTGTGATCCCATTGAAAGCAGTTTGCGTATTTGGTATTCATCTGATCAGGGTGCAGAAACACCACTGTTTACCTTGTGACCAATCTCACAGCATAAATGGCAGGTAACAAAGAGTAAAGCAATGCTTGCAACAGGTAGTTCCTGAGTAACTGACAGGATAAACTATCTTTGCATTGGCCTAGATGTTACAATGAATGAAGTCAACAGGATTCCATATGGGCACCTGCGTGGAGCTCATTGTAGGATCAGTCAGGGCCTTCAACTATTCACGGAGTAATTCAGAATAACTAAAATCTGTGACACTGCAAGCTTTTTGGGGCAGGATTGTCCTCTACTACGTGTTTGTTTAGCACACAGCATAATGGGGCTCCAACTCTGTGTGCTTTTAGATGCTGCTCGAATAGATGTATTAAATAACAAAGCAGTAAAAAAAATCACAAGCTGCTTGGGGAAAAGGTTAACTTTTGTCAACTAAACTGTTGACTGAAAATCCTGTGCTCTCTTGTATGTACTAAGGAGAATGTGCAGGGAGCTCCTTTCCTTATATTTTGACTGTAAACCAGGTTCTCTCTTTTTGTTAACTAACTTTGGCCTATTGATACTAACTTGGAAATGTCATTACCGGTCATACAAAGAAAAAGAGTCAAATAATTACAGGGGGGCTGAGATTATTATATAACCTCACTAGCAGGCTGCAGATATTCTTGTGCTAGTAATTTTATGCCAATTAAACTTGTTCAAAAGAATGAAATCAACTATGAAACATGCTTGAGCAATTGCCTCTGCTCTCCATGAGTTTAGGGCTATGGTTCTTGCTCTGCATAAATTCTTTGTTTTCAGATTCAGAATCATGGATTTGCTCTGGGCTTTACAAAGGATGATACAGCAGTTGGGCACCCATAATCCATTGACAGTCCATGGAAGTTGGGTACCAGACTCATTCTCTTAGACTCCTTGGAAAATGACAGCCTTAAAATATTTGAGTGTGATTTTCAACAGGGCTTAAGTGACTTAGGAGCACAAGTCCCATAGAAAGTCAATGGGATAAGGTGCTTTTGAAAATTTTACCCACTGAGCCAGATCCTCAGCTGGTGCAAATCAGCACATACTACACCTGAACAATGTTGATTTGCACCACCTGAGAATGTGGCCCAATATGTAATTAACAGTAACAATATGACATGGCAAAAGGATTTTTATCATTGTAAAGGGAGCACAGGGAGCAGCCTACAAATCAAAGATAGCTTTGCTTAACTGTAAGTCTGGGCCAAATCTGTTTATGCATGTGCAGTATTAAATGACACTCCTGCTAATGGGTTCATATCATTTTAGTCAGTGATCTGAATTCCTTGTAGCTATCAAAGTTTTAGGGTGCTGCTTCTCTTTTCCTGCAAAGGTCACATTTTATAAGAAGGACTTTTCTGTTTGGAGAAAAGCAGCTGGCTACAAGCAGAATGATAATCTTGCTGGGTCACTGTTTACCCAAAAGTCTTTCACTGAGGCTCAGAGGAATTCATGGAGCTCCTGGAAATTAGGGCAGAAATAAAAATAAGTGGCCCCAAGGTTCTTCTATGCTACCTCCTCCCCAAGCACTTCTGAAAATTTTACCCATCCTTAAGGAAGCAAAAGAAACCCCAAACAAAAACACACACTCTGCAAATTACTCACCACCAGGTGGAGAAAGTAGCAGAAGCAGCAGCAGAACAAATCAACACCCTTTATCCTAATGCAGAATTTTATAAACAGAAAAGTAAACGTGGGAAAATTCTACCATGGCAGTTTCAAAGGGAGGCACCAATAATCCAAATGAAGAAGCAGAAATAGCCGATGGGAGTAGACAATATAAATGAGATAAGCCAATCTGAAAAGTTTAAGATCTTTGGGGTAGTGACCTAGCACAATGGGGCCCTGACCCGGTTGGAGTCTAGGCACAATAACATTATAAATGGTGAATAATAATAATATGGACTTCAAAAAAATTAAACAAATACATGCCAATAACCCGTGCCTAGGCTCCCTAGTGAAGCAATCAGAAATACAGCAAACAAGAAATCCCTCAGAGATCTCTTGCAACGCACTATCAATATATTAATAGATTAGGCGACCTGTTTGGATAAGGTACATTGCTAGACTGATACCTGTCTAATGGTGCTGCGCCCCTCGAGCATGATATGGTTTGAGTTGAAGCCCTCAAGCACTGAAGTGGTTCCAGTGAGAATGAAAGTTGGGACTGAAGCTTCGGGAGCATTACGAAAAGGATTCTGTATTTGAAAGGGACATCCAAGCACAGAAGACACAGGAAAATAGGGGCTTTGAATTAGCAATGGAGCTTCAGTGCAGATTCTCCCTAACCTCACAAATCAAACAAATGAAGGTCACAGGGATTTCCGGACTAAATGGCACAATGGAAGTGGCCAGCTTGTGATAGCTCAAGTGAGTACCCCCAAAAAGGGTCAGGTTCAGCAAAGCACTTAAGTATGTGTGTAAGTCCACTCCTATCTAGCAAAGCACTTAAACATGTTCATAACTACTTTAAACTTGAAGTCAACATGACTTAAGCATATGCTTTCTTGAATCAGTGCATTAAAGTTGCTACCAAGGCACTCTGGTATCTGGCTACTCTATAAAATACGCACTCTCTATCCTTGTGAAGTGTATATATATTTTCTTTTTCTTTTCCATTTTAAAATTCTTTCTTCTTGAATATGTTTGGTGAGCCAGGCGGCCAAGAATCGGAGCCCCCAGCCCTTCCACCAGAGCTTCCACTTGCACCAGAAAGAAATCTGAGTAAGAATTTTTAAGCTTTCCTTGTTACAATATTTGTATGCATTAAAAGGCGCCAGGATGCAACCTCTTTGGGCAAGAGATCCAGAAACAACTTTCCAGTAGTGTTCACAGATCTGTCCCTCATTATACTGGATCTTTAGCAGAGGTTAAATAACCTCAGAGCCCTGAGTCACCTCTCGCTTGCACTTATTTTACCTTGATGTAAGTCCATGGAGCTTGGTGGAGTTCCTCCTGATTGACATGAGTGTAAGAGGAGGATCAGGCTCCTCTATCAGATATTGCATCATTGGTGTTGCTGGAACACAAACCAAAACCATCTCTGCTATAACCTAGGTGAGGTTCCTCAAGTTGACTAGAGAAGAATTTGTGTCACTGATGCTGAGTTTATTGTTGCAACAGGTTTATAGCTAATGAACTAGCTAGGAATTTACATTTGAAATGATTAAATCTTACCTGTTTCTCAAAAGAAAAGTGAGTTTGAAAACTGAGGGTAAGTGAACCTTCAAGAATCATGGTCTTAACCATATCTTAACCATTGAGCCAAACAAATTCCTTTTTACATCTTAAGTAAGATTGGATTTATTCTTAAACCCCAGAGATGATAAAATGGGAAATTTCTGATGGCTGTTTGGGGTCCGTGTAGTTGAAAGACAATCTCACTCCAGTCCCCAGCACACACATATTCATATAAAAAAATCACAACCACAGCTGACATTTTTGTCAATCTCAGAAGAAAGGATCAGATGAGTACAGAGAATGAAACATATTGGTTCCACTAGAGGGTGTTCCTTCAAAGCTGGGTAACATTAGTGTAGTGCCTCTATCCACATGGTTACCTCCTTTAACATCAAACTCAGAAGAATGCCTGCATAACTCCAAACCCGGCGACGCCATCACTGACCACTGTGTCATATCCCTTGTGGAATTTTCGTAAAAACCCAGCTCCTGGAGTCAGGTGATTCTATGAGCATCTCATCTTTCAATTTGTCTGTTAAAAAAATTACATTTCTAGCCCTCACAGCTGCAGAGAAAAGCATGACAATAAGACCCCAAAAGGCTCAAAAACCAGGAGGCAAAAAAATAGATTCCCAAAGGTATTATTTATTAAAATCTCATGATTTGGGGGGGCTTGTCTCATAATTTTTGAATGCTCAGGGTTGGCTATACTGCAAGGATTATATCATGCCTGCAGCTGCATTATGCCTCCCATTGAAATCAACATACGCGACATATGTTTATACAAGGGCAAACATTTTTCACCAGTTTTATTATGCTTTTGGTTTAGACAATATCACGTTCTTCAATGGGGTCTTTCAAAATGTGGACAGCGTTGCATTGTTTTTTGGTAAGTGCAGACTCATGATTTGATATTTTTGGCAGTAAAAATAGCATGGAATTTGTTTAAAAAAAGAGCAGAAACACTCCTGAAATTACAGATTTCCCTTAAAGCTAATATCTAAGGATTAAATTGTCTGCAGTTCCTAAGGTCCCCAGAAGGGCTACTGCATTATATCATTCCTTAGACCAGAGGTCCCCACACTGTGGGATGTGTGGAGGAACATTTGTGAGGGAGGGCAGAGGAACGTTCAGGGGGGTGGGGCAGGGCCCAGGCCAGCCCCCACGGATGGTGCGGAGGGAGTGACACCCAGCCCTGCTCCGCTCCCAGCTCTGCTTTGGCCCCGCCCCCAGCTGCAGCTCCACACCTGGCCCCAGCACCGCCTCCAGCCTCGGCCCCTGGCTGCAGTTCCATTCCTGCTCCCAGCCCCAGCCCTGCCCCCAGCTACAGCCCCAGCCTTGGCCCTCTTTCCTCTGTCCACGTCCCTCTGCCTTGGGGAGCTACAGCCCCACTCCTGGCCCTGGGGAGGGGAACACACGGGGTAAGCGGCGGTGCGATCCTGAAAAGTTTGGGGACCTCTGCCTTAGACCCTGATCCTGCATTTGAATCCACGGAGGGGGACCCCAGCACCTACAGTATCATCCAGGTCTTTTCCATCTCTGAATATCATCCTCCTATGTCTATTCTCTCAGACTGCCTGGGTTCTCACTTCACTTGGCTCCAGGCCATATTCACTAACTTCCCTGCACTGCTCCATTTCGTGAACAAAATGAGGTGTGTAACTGGACTTTGCCCCAGGGATTTCGAAGACTATGGCTGCTCTTGCCGGTTCGAGATGGAAGGGCTCCCTGTGGATGAAGCAGACAGGTGTGTTTTGTTCCTGGGAGATCATTCTGCTGGGGTGGATGGGTGCGAGTGGAAAAGAACAAAGTGTGGTGAGAGGAGCAATGCTGAAATCTTGCCGCAACAGTCTGAAACTTAACACTTTGCTAAACTACTTATGGTCATAACCCTTAGCTTTACAAATGGACGATTGGCTCACATGGTAATATCCAAGTATCCAATCTGTGCTTACATGTAACCTCAACCAACACTGTCTCCAATGAGTCACAAAACATAGGATATAACATTGGTTATCCTGCCCTCCTAAATGATCATTGCCCTTTCTTGGTGCCATCCGTTTCCCCATTCACCGGCAATAACAACAGCTACTTTGCAGCACAGCCCTGGAACCACACAGAGCAGTAGCTTCCCGAAAGGCTGTTTTCAGTGGGCTAGGGATAATTTTAGGCCTGGATAATCCCATCCCCTAGATCTTCAGGCACGGATAGTAACCCCATATATTGTGCTTCTCCCTTGCTGTCCACAGATATTGGGATTTATCATCCAAGCCTTTATTTCCCTGAATACTCTCAGCTGGCAAAATGTGGACTACTCTCCCCCTAAAATTAAAAGCAGGCGTAGTCCACACCTCTGCACCTTCATTTCCCTGTAACTCTGGCTGTGAAGCTGGGCTAAACGGGCTGCAAAAGGAAACCACTCCTGAGAGGCAGCAGATTCTCTGTGTACATGCTCATTGTCATAGTACTAGACCATCTAAACACATTCATAGGTTACAGACCATGGTAGAATCAAAGCACAAAGCTAGTCTCTTCATTTTACACGTGGGTAAACTGAGGCATGGTGTGATTAAGTGACTTACCTCAGAGCACACAGGACATTTTTGGCAGCGTTGGGAACAGAACCATAAACTCCTGACTCCTAGCTCTGTGCTTTAGCCTCTGCCCCTGGTGGACAGATCCTTGATGGTAATTCAGTCTGTGCTCTCCCTTGCTAGGCCAGTAAGGTAAAATATAGGACAGGAGGCGTCAGTGCTGAGAGTCCTGTTTCCTCATGGTCACTTGACTGGGGAACACTGGGAAAGAAATGCAACAAGGGCCAAGTCCTGCCCAGGCGTAGGCGGGGAAAGAGGTGATTTCATTTGCTAAGTGAGGAATGTTGTCATGGTTTAAAGAGCGTTAATGTAGATTTTTGCATGGAGATGAATCCACTGCAATCCCACATCGTCTGAAGGGGAGGAAAATGGAATTTTTATCTTCCCAGCTGAGAAAAGCCACACAAAGTCCTTGTGAATGGCTTGACGAATTGCTCTCTGAATAAAGGTGCTGACACTCTGAAATCAGAGCTCGATCCAGTTCAATGAACTGATAGCTGAAACAACTCAACGCTTAAACAGCCCCTCACTTATCATTTTAATGAAAAGCTGCCTAAATACAGAACATTAGAAGCTGCGGGACAATCTATCAGAGTCTTTGGCCCAAGAAAGATTCACAGACACGGCCTTTTCAAACAGATGGATTTGAAATGGGTTAGCAGCATCTCTCCCGTCAGTACAAAACCCACTGTACGGTATAAGAGATGCAGATGTTTGCTTTTCCATATACATATACAAGATACTGTTTAGATTTAGAGAACCTCTTTAAAGAGACACGGACACTGAAAACATCCTGCTAAAAGAAACAGTTCTGCCAGTGCCAGGATCTGCATTATGTAGAAGTTGGTCAGTTACTGAAGTCCATTCTCCATCTAAATTCCTTAAATCCTGATCTTCTAGTCTGAGACTGGAAAGATGAAGCAGATAGCTCAAGAAATAGCCCAAGGTCAAAGAGGCAATCAGTGGCAAAGCTGGCTTTAGAGTTAATGGGCCTGATCTCCACTCTATTACTCCAATTTTATATTAGTTCGACTACACTGAACTTAATGGAGTTACACTGGTATTAAACTAGTGTGACCGAGGATCCTGAGATTTCAGCTCAGGTCTTTAAAGCGAAGTAGCTAAATAATACTTTGCTTTCATGGACACCTTCCACTGAAGGATCTCAAAGCACTTAGAAAATATTCATGCATTTAGCTTTTCAGCACCCCTGTGAGGAAGAGAAGTAGCATCATCTCCACAATCTGACTGAACCAGTTCAGTCTCTGTAAATCTAGGCCTCAGTCTCTAAGGTATTTAAGTGCCTAAACCCCAGATTTAGTGGGCCTGGACTCTCTAATATGTTTAGCATCCTCTCTCCTTCCACTCATTGGCCAGCTCCCCACCTCTGCTGGCTTTTATGAATCACAGTCTAAGGTGCCTATCCATCTCCATTCATGGTACAGAAAGCCTAGGCACCAAGCTCACAGTGTGTTCCTGTGTGCTAAGCGTCATAGCACTTAAGTACCTTTGTGAACCTAGGCCTGTGACATGCCAAAGGTCCTGCAGGTCACCTGTGGCGGAGCAAGGAATAGGAACCATTTCTCAGTGGTCTCAGTCCAGCACACTTAATGTTAAATTAAGTGCTTTGCTGGATCAGGATCTTAGTCCTGTGTCTTCACCACAAAACCAAATCACCCTCCCCTAGCTTTCCTTTCTCTGATGCTAAGCGGCAAACCCCCGAACTGCTGCATGTTCAAATAATCCCACTAGCAAGAGTGAAATAAAGGACCAAATACAGAGGATGTATCCTTATATCCCATGAAGGTTATCCTCCTATAAAGAGCACACAGCACTCTACTTTTACCCCACTGCTCTTTCATTTTACAAACCTGCACCTTTGACACTGTGGGTCTGCAAAACACTAGGTTTTGTAAATGGTTTGAATTCACAGTGCTCAGCATTGTTTGTCTGCTTTCCAAACATCGCCAAGAGGCTACGGTGAGGATTTCCCCGACCTGTTAGTGTAACAGGCAGGTCATCTTGGCGATCACAGACTGTAGCCGGGTCTTGGATATAATTGTGTTTGTCAAGCTGAAGACTCTGTCAAGGCTTTTCTATGGAATGTTGTCATTTCCATCTTTGTTTAATACTCCCCTGGTACAACGGTGATGCCTCAAGTGCCGTCACACCATGGAAAGGTTCCAGCAGAGATAGCAGATGGATACCAGTGAATGGAAACAATAGACAGGTCAAACATTCACCATTTGTTAGAACTGATGCTTCCTTTCATCCTCTGGGCCTTTTAGTGCTCACTCGTATTTTAAAGAGACAGTTACACTACAATACAAAGGGTGCCTGTCACTTGCTCCTGTTCTGTAGAGAACGTTATTTCACTAGGAGAGTGGTGAAGCACTGGAATGGGTTACCTAGGGAGGTGGTGGAATCTCCTTCCTTCAAAGTTTTTAAGGCCCAGCTTGACAAAGCCCTGGCTGGGATGATTTAGTTGGTGTCAGTCCTGCTTTGAGCAGGGGGTTGGACTAGATGACCTCCTGAGGTCCCTTCCAACCCTGATATTCTATGATTCTATGGGATCAAACAGTCTGAGTCCACCCAGTATGGACACAGTCCAAGGCCTAGTAGGAGAGCCCTGTTCAGAAGCAACCCCTGGGATTCTCATAGCCTCAGACAAGTCTTTTGTACCAAAACAAACATCCTAGGCACAGCCCATTTTAGGAGCCCTCTTACTTGCCTCGCTGCCGAGAGCCATGTCAAGGTCCCAGGCAGCGCAGGGGCAATGGGACACATTGGAAGTGGGGTGGAATGAAACAAACTGCTCACAGCGTACAACCCTCCATGGCCGTACACAACACCACCAACACAACACCATACACCAACTCCTCCTCCTTCCATACATGTGGAGGAGGACATGGCGCTCATGTCACAGCCTTAATAATCCCTCTGAATACCCATGGCAGAAAGATACGTAGGATTAGCTGTTATGAGGAGGGAGAGGACCCAACACGCAGAGAGGTTTAATGAATTCCCTAGTCCCATGAAGGAAGTCAGCTGTGTTCAAACACAGCAACTCCAAGTCCGGTGTCTTGGCCCAGGACAGCGGAAAGAAGCTTGCAGCTCCCTGAGTGATCTGGGGGGGTGTGTGTGTTGGAAGGGTGCTGCTGGGGGCTGGGGCTGCCCCCAGCACTGGGCTGTCCTAACTTGAACTCTGTCTGCCTTGGCTTTTGCAACAACCAGGAAATAGCTGTGGGATAGAAATGTCTCCTGTTGGCCCCTCTGGGCCAGGGACTCTGGAAAGAGGAACGAGCAGAGCCAGCTCTGTGCTTGGCAGGGAGACTCTCTGTGCCTTAGGGCTCCTCTGCACCGACACAGTGTCAGGGGGCTGCAGCAAAGTGGGGAGCGGCAGACAGATTCTCGCTGCACCCCACTATGCTCAGTCTATTAGGCCTAGTCTGCCATGAGGGGAAAAAGGAATGAATGCTCCTTACTGATTAACTAGTCAGAAAAAAGGGACGCCCCCCCCCCCTTTTCTCTCACAGGATCCTGTGCACCTGCCTGCTGTCCAGCGCATCACCATCCCAAAGGGGAAGCAGGAAGCGAAACGAAAATGAGGGTGTGCATCCCTGGCATTCTTTCAGTTGTATTTTTGGTTTCTTTGTTTTGTTCCTAAGCTGCTGTTTCCAGCACCGCAAATGCTACGAAGAAGCCATGGAGCTGGAGTGCTCCTGGGACCCTGCCAAGATTTCTATGGACATCAGCTGTCTTACTAAAAACATTACCTGTGGTAAGGTTCAAAGGGGACTGCTGCCTGTTATTGGGCTTTGTACTGATCGGGGAAAAGGGGAGTTGCTTTTGTATTCGTACAGCGCTAGCCCAACGGGGTCCTGGTCTATGACTGGGGCTCCTCGGGGCTACAATTATATAAATGATAAATAATAATAATTCCAATTAATTTACTGAGAGCCATGTATAGACTAGGCAGAAATCACCTATGATTGTCTTGTAGGTCTAGGTACAGTTAATCCTGCCTCGGTGTGGAGGTATGGCCTAGATAGCCTCTCAAGGTCCCTTCAAGCCCTGTGTCACGGCTCTCTGGATTACAGACTGCACGCTAGGGGGATCTAGTCACATAGCATGTTGGGGTTCTTAGGGATTGGCTTGTTTTGGCCTTGTTTTGAAATGGGATTAGCTTGATTTATGGCTTATTGTGAAAGTCGGGCTGCTTATTTACTGCATGGAAGTTGGCACCTGTGGAGAAAAGGGGCCTTGAGATGACTTTATAAGGGGAGGGAGCTCCGTTCGGCTCTGGTAAAAGCTGAGCAGATGTTACCATGATGTGCAGAAGTGATTTTTCACTCCTCTATATGGTTTCTATTTAAAACAATTTCTCGTCACGCACTAGTCCTCTGTAAAGACCAGGGGCCAGATTTTGATCGCTGTTACACCAGAGTAAATGTAGAGTAGCTAACGCATTTATAGCGCCACTCTGAATTAAGCCTGGTTTAACTAACAATCTGATCCCACAATCCTTTCTAGTCTCACACCATTTTTGCTTTAGCTCTGTCTTCAAAAAAGCACGTCTCAATGGGGAAAGTTTTTCTCTGTCTCCCTTTACTGGAAAATAGCAAAGGTGTTTTGTTCAAACTGAAAAAAACAAATATAGCCCTTACTAAGGGTGTGAGCCTGGAAATAAATATTCTTCTCAAAGGTTAATTTGTCATAGAGTTCTCAGTGTGGGAAAACAGAAGGTTGTGATGGAAATTGCTTGGTAACCTGCACTGTAATGCAAAGTATGTTTTGTAATATCCCCTACAGCAAATACAATCAGAGCTGCACCACGTACTATCTCTAGCCAGCAATAGCCAGTGCTAGAATAGAAAAAAACCCAGCATTTACTTTAGACGTCATCCTGAATTTCCCTAGGATAATTCAGTCTTATTGTTTTGTAAAGCCTGAGTTTATTTATCCTTGGTACTTGCAGAAATACAGTATAGGGTTATGTTCTACAAAATGAAATGGAGCTGTCGATGGAAAGCCTGAGAGGCAAAGGCAGATGGTGGAAACAGATATTTCAATGGTACCTTGTCTGGATTTTTGTTTTTACTCCAGAGTCTGGGGATCCTTGTGAACGGCTTCTCTGCAATTGTGACAAAGCGGCTATTGAGTGTTTTGTCAATTCACACGTTAACTCTTCCTTGAACGGCCTGGATGTCTCCTTCTGTCCAGCTCAGGTTACAGGTAATAATAAAGGGCCTGATCTACTGACCATTCAAGTCAATGGGAATCTTTCCATCGGCAGAAAGGGCACCAAATTGGATCCAAGGAGAACAGTGCTGCTGCTGGTGTCTCGGTTTCTTATCCTGCAGGTGGCATCAATGGCTGTCCTGTTCTCTGTTTCATGAATCATTTCCATTTCCCATGGCTCAGTGAATCCTAGTGGTAGGAGGGTGTGGATTAATTCAGGTGATTTGACTAGATGGCCAGATCTATAGAGCAAGTTTGTGTGTGAATGGGGCCAGACTACAGTCCTGAAGGGTGAAGTCCTCTCTTTGCTCACTGTAAAGGCAATTCATGGGTGAGAGGGGAGACAAGCTTCCCTGCTCTGCTCAGCTTATGGGACCCCTCCCTGGCATGGCAGAGTGTAGGGTAAGGTCAGGACAAGAGGGGTATTAATCTCCATTTCCATGCATTGACCTTTAAGGCTGCCCAGAGGGTTGCTGAACTGGGCTACTATTTTATTACTATGAACACTTGTCTAGTGAGATGCCCCCAAACTCGTTTCAAATAGGTCATTGAACAGATTATGAGATGGCGACGACTTTTGGACACTCCGGCCTTGGGCTGGGTTTGAACTAACAGGGGCAGCTTCTCAGCCCAGCTCAGTGGCCATGTTTCCAAAAGTGCTTGGCAGTCTGTGCTTGTGCTTGCAGGAGTCTCGGGGAAGCACCAGAAACATCAGAGTGCCTAAAGGTTGTTACACTTAGCTCATTTACACAACCTTCTTTTATTTTAACCTGCCAAGTCCTTTGCCAACATAAACTACTTAATGCTCTTGGTAGAGTTACTTCTCCCAGAGCCCGGCAAAGCCGGCAAGTGTCATCCCTACTCTATAGACAGGGAAATGGAGGGTAAGTGACAGGCCCAAGAGCCAAGAAGTTAGCACTGACGCTGGGAAGTTCACCTCTACTGAGAGAGACCCAAATCAAAAAGCTCAGGGTTTTGATCTAAAAATAGTTGTTTCAACACAATTCTGTTTCACAAACCCATTCAAAAGGTTTTGTTTTAGAGCCGCACTGAAACCTGAAAAATGGCTGCTAAACGGCACTATTGTCCTGCAGACAGCTCTGCTTAGTACTGATGTTAAAGGCAGGTCAGTGATCCCCCAGACTAGTTTGGGATTCAAAGGTTCCCAATTATATATCTTGATGGAACAGAGCCTTCATAAATCAAGAAATCTTTTCATTTAATGGTCTCCATGATGGGGTTTCACTCACCACGTTGATGCCTCCTACTGGTCATCTTAGGAATTAGCTCTGCAGGTTGGTACACACACTCCCAGTGGTGCCTTGGCCGCCGGGACTTCTGCTCCCAGACCCACGTCACTCCAAGGAAGGCAGTGTTCTCTTCATGACACAGCCCTCTGGCCGTGTCAAGTTCTGTGCTCCCCCCTTCCAGGGCAAGTGTTGCAGTCCAACTGTCCCACCACTTCTCCAGTGGGGACTGCAGCCAATTGTCTGGCCACTTCCCCAATGGCCCCACCACGTGCTTCGCCCTTGCTCAGGATGCAAATCCCAGCAGCCAGCCAGGAGCTCTTCTCTAGCTCCCCCTGTCCTTCCTAGCAGCACTGCTCTGTCCAGGGAGCTAGCTTCTGTCTGCCTACCAGGCACCCAGTTCTCTCTCCTTGAGCTCCAGGGTGTAACTGCCCTTGCTCTGCCCCGTGGCTCTTCTTCTATGGACATGCTAAGCCCTGATTGGCTGTTCCTCGCAGCTCCTCTCTATTGGCTGCTTCCTGCACAGCCTCCCTAGGGCCCTATAAACCCTTTGTGTGCCAGTGGCCTCATCATAGTCACTCATTTGGTTACCTCCCTGTATAGCTGCACTGTGTGTTTCAGGCTTTGAAAAAAATGCTTCCCAACAGTATATCAGCTATGATCTCTCTTCTTCTCAGAAACAACTAGCAAGAAAGGATTGACAACACTTCATGTGGAGGGTATGTCCTGAACTCTAGAATCCTTTGACTTTAATGTATTCAATTTAGATCATCTTATTGATCACAAAAAAAGCTAGTGCACACTTCAGCAGTGAGATTCTTTACAGAAAAGCAAAGTGCAACACCTCTGTAGCAAGATGCTAAAATACAATGGGAAAAGTTGTCAAATGTGTCTAAGGAGCCTAAGTCCCATTTTCTAAGGTGACTCAGGCAGGTTCCTAAGTCACTTGTGTAAATGGGACTTAGACTTCTAAATCACTGAGTCACTGTCATATGGTGATTGATTCTTAAGAGGGAGCGGGGTCTAGTGCACCTGTGGCTGATTGCCTGCTGCCCAAATGGGCTTAAGAGAAAGCACCGGGGCCTTATAAAGGAGTAAATGGAAGCTGAGAGAGAAGAGCTGCTGAAACGGTTTAGGAAGGATGTAGCTGAGAGCCCAACGCACACAGGCCCAAGTAAGGGCCCGTGAACCCCTGAACTGAAGAGGAGGGACTGACTCAGCAGAATTTGGGAAGGGCTGATAACTGTGAGAAGAGGTTTGGAGTCAGACAGACCAAGGAGGAGGGGCTATGCTCCATAGGAGTCTTGGGTGGAAGAGAGCTACTTTAGTCATATTAATAACCCAGTCCCCGAGAAGGTTGCTTGTTATTGGACATAAAATCTCTGTGGATTATTCCAGGGAACCACTGCAGGAGAAATTGAGGAAGGGTGCTGCTGAGCCATACTTGGCCAGCAGGGGGCACTACAGGCAGAAATGCCCTTTGAGAGGTGCTTTTGAAAATGTTACCCACAATGCTCCTAGTTTTAAGAGGTAGTTCTGTGTGTCCAACTACGGAAGAACACATTTATTTAAAAAAATAATAGACTGGTTCAAATATCCAAATTCCCACATGTGTATAATATACACACACAAAGACCACTGTTTTAAAAGAGGCTGCCTCCCATATGTTAAAGATAGCAATGATAAAAGGGTCGGATTCATGCCATTTTTACGTGCACACTGTTCTAACTATACCATCTTAGGGCCTGATTCAGCAAGATACTTAAGCAAGTGCCTAATTTTAAGCATGCTCATGTGTTAAAGGTAGTGATGTTCTTAAGTACCTTGTTGAATTGGAGCCTTAAAGAATAATGATCATGAAGGTGCTTCAGTAAATGTTTTCAAAGGAAAGCTCTGTGGGGCAGGGCCTGGACTTTGCTCATGTTGCACAGCACTGACTGCAGGGCAGCATCAGCGCTGAACAAACGGTACAGCAATCATGAACCGAAATAAATCCACTTGCACCAATATTGCTGATGACTATAGTCATGTTACACTCAGTTGACGTCTCTTGAATTGCCCATGAGCTGATTGTGTTTTTACGGCTAGTGCATCGCTTTGAAATGAGACCTCCTTTATTTTTGCAGAGCTTCTTTACCACAAGGGTGATAAACCACGGCTGACAACTGCTTCCATGACAGAAGGTTTGTGCATTGACTCTTCAGAAGAAACATTTCCCACCAATTTCAGAAGCAGTGACATAAATAATCCAGGGGAAAGACTGAAATATGCTTGGAGTTAACCAAAATGGCTAATACAAAAGAACCTACCACTGGTCCTGTGAGCCAATACAAGACTAAGTCCTAGAGTATAGCTTTTTGGATTTGTAGATGCCCTCTGCTGGGAGGACTCACTTTAATATTTTATACACAATACAACACACAATGACAGTCTCCAGCCAGAATCGTTTCAATGCATTGGAATGTGCCTGTGTAATTCTGATGTCATGAAGTCACTGCTTAGCTCTTACTCGAGGAAATTAGTCAATGAAGTCAACGGGAGACTTGCCTTAATAAGAACTTCAGGCTTTGGCTCATAGTGAAGTCATAGCATTGGGATGGGGGGGGGCAGGGGACGGACAAAAAAGATTTCACTGTAAGAGGACTCCAACTTTAGCCTTTGAGCCAGCAGAGCTGCTCCTTGAACAGACCGTTAAAGGGAATGGGTCCTAACTATGTAAAGCACAGTGTAAATCTGTGGTGTCATGGGCAGGGGTTTTACCTCTGCCCTCCATGCAGCGAACGTATGCTGGGCTGTTGCGGGTGAAAGCGAATGCTCACCTTAGAGAAACACAGAAGAGAAGCCAGATGAATGTGTTTCTCCACAGCCGAACACGTCACTTGTGGGGAGCAGGGGAGGCTGCCGCTTTGAAGGATTTTCCACATAGCGGGCGGGCCATGGGAGTGCATGGTCTGTTATTGCTTCAGGTATCAGCAAGAAGGGGAGCTGGGCAATGCAGACAGGCTGGACAGCCTCTGCGCTCCCAGGCCAACTACACGGTCACCAACGTGTCTGATCTCCACTTGGCAGAGCCCAGGTGCTTTTTTGGAATCTGGGTCCCTGTCCAGTGGGGTTGCTCTGAGCCATCACACCAAGCACAAGTCTGGAAGAGTAGAAAATCGCAAGGTCACCTGTGAATGTTAGGACAATACTATGCGGTTTTTGTTTTTAAAGGAAGTCCACCTGCAGCTAGCAATACCAGCTTGAAAACCCCCACTTCTGAGTGTAAGTGATATTGTTACTTCATAGCTGTCCTCCCCTTGTCGTACGCCAGCTCTCTTACTTTGTCGTTTGCGGCTTGCTTTTCTGATCAGACAACAACTCCCGTCTCGGTTTGTGTATTTACAGCTACTCCCAGAGAGCTCAGCAATGCACGGGGGAGAACGCCCAAAGCAGCATGTGAGTGGTAGTTTCTGCATTTGCACATCTGTAATGATCCTTTTAAAAAAACATAACGATAATTTGCCATATGTAATTAGCACATCAGCACGAGACCAAAAAATATCTCCAGCAAATATAAACCTTTATTAGGAAATTCGCAAAGTTGGAAACACTACTTGTAACACAGCAAGTAAATGAATCTAGTGAACATAGGGTGGGATTCTGAAAAGCACTGAGCTCTGGACCACCTCTGCTCCGATTGATATCTATTGGCGTTTTCCCTTTGACCTTGTGGGAGCAGAGTTAAGCCAGTGCTGAGCGCCTATCATTAGAGGGCATCTGTGCTTCCTTACATCAAAACACCCCAGAAGCGAACGCTAACTACCATGGTGTCAATATTCAGACACCAATTTTAGGGTCATTTATGATCTGCATTTCTAAAGAATTAAAAAGCAGGCAAAAAAAAAACAAAGCACTTCTCAGGATGAATTTAGCAGGCAAAGGTAGTGCTGCCTAATGGTTAGGAGAGGGGAATTGGATTTCATTCCCAGCTCTGTAAATGACTTTCTGGTCAACCACAGACAAGCACTTAAGAATCCAACCCAGTTGTCCATTAATTATGGGTGAACATCTTAAAACTTCCACAGGGACACTATTGAAATTTTGGGCCTTAGCGTCTTAGGTTTACTCCTCTGTAAAATGGGTGTGCTATTATACTTCCACTTTAGAGTGATGTTTGTGGGGCTTATTAGTAAAGTAAAAAGTATTGCAAGCACCTGGTGACAGGTGTATTTTATAATGGGATCAAAACCATTTATCATTTTATCCACAAAACACATTTTCATCTACTGCAAATTGAAGAGAGAATACAAACCTCCACTGGTGACATTTTCACTTTTTCCACCCTATCACAAGGCCTTGTGCAAAGGCTGCATTCACCATCTTTGCATTTCACCAAGGTCTGTATTTCCTTACAGTTTGTTTTCTGATAAACGACTCACATTTTCTGTCTTCAGTAGCTAGTTCTGCTCAGCCCAGTGACATGGTCCTGAGGACTCCCAAAGCAGGAGGCAAGGAGGTTTTAGTGCTGGTTGTATTTTTCTGGCAAATCAGTCACTGTAAGGGCCATGTGGTCATACAGTGGCATTAGCAGTAGTCAGCTGGCCTCTGCAAAGCTGCCTACTCACTGACTCTGCCCCGCAGTTAACGAGCAGTTTAAAGCTCTAGCTCAAGCCAAACCTGAAGTGGGATTCTCAGACTAGTCGCTACGTTGCCAGCATGGCCTATCCTATAGCCAAGCTCTGAGCATGGCTAAGACTTGGCTTAGGTGCCTCACTCCAGGGAAGGGTTCAGGCAGAGGATCCTATCTTTGACCCATCCACCGGGGTGCACCAGCTCAGCTAAGCCTCTCTCCCTGGCATTGCATCCTAGCTAGCTTGGATAGCTCCCTACTCAGCTTACTGACTCCTGAGGCTCCCTCTCTTAGGCCATAACTTGCCCATGTATTGTACAGGGAGCCGGGGCACCTAACTTGGGGCTGAAGATTTCATTAGCAGGCAAGTCTACTGGGGTTTAGGCATCGCAGCACTGAGCAGAGCAAATGCCTACATCCCTTTGAGGACCATCGCCTTAGCAACTCTGTGCCTCAGTTCCTCATCTGTACAATGAGGTCATGACGACGGTTGGTTGGTTGTTCGTACTTTGAGAATCTCAGATCAAAGCCACTAAACAAGTACAGTTTGTTTGGTTCACTATCCTAGTGCTTCTGCTTTCCTGTCTAGTTATTGCAAGAGATCACGAAGGCATATTTGCTTCCTTCATAGATCCCACACTAACAGGTAAGTGAATCTTAGAGCTTGACTACATGGTGTCACAGAGCAGACTACAGGGGTGAGAATAAACCTGCAGATGTGTGATAATAGCATGGCAGTTGGTAACACAATGGCATTTGAAGTGATTATACTATAGTAATATTATGGCTCACCTGCCTTGAATTTTTTTTTTTAAATCATCTTTCGTGGGAGAAAAATTGTTTTTTTAAAGAGATAGACAAGTTAAAAATCTCATTTAAACTACAAGTGTTAAAATTGAATTGGACATTTCACCATTTTTATGTTGTTTAGCTTTTGCCTTTCACTGAATTTGAGCACTGAAACTAGACCTGTCATTTCCATTTTCTGGCACTGTCAAGCAGCATAGTGCAATGTCAGGATTGCAGCCTCTGCTGGAGAATCTTTCAATCAAGGCAAAGAACCATTTTCAGTGAACGTTTTTGAAATTTCACAAATTATTTCTAGCTGCGATTTCAAAGGCCCAAACAGGAGTTAATTGCCCTGTGCGCCTTGACTTCAATGCACTTTGTGCCTTTGAAAATCTAACCCTCCATTAACATCAGGTTTCCTAATACAACGATCCTTTAAAGCACATTCATAGATATTACAGCCAGAGGGGACCGTTATAATGCTCTTTTCTCACCTCCTGCACAGCATTGCATAGAATTCTTTCATAACCTAAAAGCTGCTTAATGTTTTGCAGTTACTACAGTGAAGATCGCAGCCACACCAGCAGCTGCAACTGAAAGTAAGGAGACAGCACCATGACGCCTGGTTTGATATCCTGCAGCACCCTTTTATTTTCAGTTGACCTTTATGAAGCTAATTCAGGTGAACTGAACTGGACCAGGGAAATTTCAGGTGACACTGAATCTGGGAGGGGGCCGCAGGGGGAAGAAGCAATTTTTCATCTGTGCCATCTCTGACTCAGGTATTAAAATTATTTGTACTGCAATGGTGCCCAGGGCTCCCAGTCAGGGATCAGGGCCCCTTGTCCTAGGCCCAGTATAAAGACATACCAGAAAGATGTGTCTCTGCACCAAAGAGGAGTTGTCTGCCAAGTTCTTGGGAGATTGCTACAGTTCGGTATAGAACAAGCACCTTCGGAGTTCTAATCCTGCCTCTGAGACTGGTGTTCTCCAAAGCTGTCAACAAGTCATTTTACCTCTCGGCCTCAGTTCCTCCATCCGTGCAATGGGGAGAATACTCGTATTAATGATAGTGCTATTTCTCTGTACTGAGAGGGGTCTAGCACACTTTTGGGTACTGTATAATAAACAATAATATTAATGCTTTCAAACCATTTCCCAATAAACATGTGTTGCACAAACTAACTCCACCACCTCAGCAGATGGTAGTTAGTGACCCAGTTGGCACCCCCAGTGGAGAAGCCAAAGGACAGAATGAGCATGGAGACTGAACTACCTTCTCACTCCTGGCAATTTGGTTCCTGCAGGTCAGGTGTGAGGCAGATTGGCAAAGCAGTGAGGGGCAGCCAGTGTTGTCTGGTCTGTGTATAGACACAGTACTTCTGTCTGGATGGATCTCAATGCAGCTTTCACCAACTCTAAGTTTGCTTAAACACAAAAACGTTAAAGGTCCAACATACACATCCCAAAATCTCTGGGCATCACACATAGCAATCACTGTTGTCTGGAATGTGAAGTGTTGTAGCTGTCATGATGAGATGCCTGCAAGTAAAGCGTCCTAACTCTGATTATACTGTGTATGACTATTGAGCATTGCTCATATTTCACTGTGTCACAACCAGGTAAAGCAACCAGCAGCCCCACTAGCACTGAGCAAAGCTTCCTGGATTAAACTTAGCTGGCCCCTGAAAAAATGCATACTTGGGTTGACCAAAGCTGCACAAATTCACATGCAACACACCAGACTGGCTCAGGAAAAGAAATTCTGAAAAAAAGTAAAAATGTTTCATTTTGGCATTTTAAAAATTAAACGTTTCAATGTTTTGATTTGAAATGACTTTGTTTTGAATTTTTCTTGTTTTATTGAAAAGGTAAAAAAAAAGCAAAACCAGCCCTTGAAAATGAAACAAAATGTTTGGTTTTGGGTTGAATAAAATGTTTCATTTGACCTGAAACAACTTTTTATTTTTAGCTTTTTGTTCTGCCAGAAAAATGGTCATTTAGTGTTGACCCAAAGCCTTTTTAAAAAAGTTAAGGTTCAGCCACTGAACCAAAAAATTAGTTCTTCACAGAGCTCTAAGTCCAACCCACATGAACCCCACTAAGTAACTGGCAAATATTTTGTTGTCAGTTCCTTTCTTCACATGCCCTTCTGTGTGCTTTCCCTCTCATGGAAATCTCCCAGCCTCATGCCAAGGCTACCAGTCTCCAACAAGACTCGCTGAGCTCCAAAAGCAACAATAGTGTGAAAATACAGGGGAAATACAAGAGAAAATAAGTGAATGGAGCCACTACTCTGCGCTCTACCTTTCAGAGTCTCTTCACATTCTCCTGACTCACCCGCCAAACCTGAGCTAGATGAGCGTGTCACCACCTCTCCTGCTGCTATTCAGTTCAGCATCATTGGGCTACTTTGGTGGGGTGATGGACTAAGAACGGAGGTGTGATGAACTCAGGAAACAAACACTGACCTGCACCTTTTCTGGTTGCCCAATCACCTGGTTATGTCATTTAGCTACCTGGGATAATCCTTCACCTTCCAAGTGTAACATGCATTCTTTTTAACCTGTAATAAACATGGGTTACTCTTATCGCCATCTTTAACCAGCATGACTCTAAGATACGTAAGAAATGTGAAGAAATTAACAAGAGTGGGAATTTGGGGTTTCTTTCAATGACTGGTGCTTTAAACCAGGTCTGTCTGGGATTATTACTCTGTCCTGTTGTCTAGGAGATCAATTTACTTACCATTTAAATGGGTGTGTTGTTAGTGATTATCCTGCTATTTCTCCTTCTTGCTTTTCTTTTTCTCCCCATCAGTTCAGAGGGGGCAGGAAAGCGATTTAATTGTAAGTGTACCTTCAGAAGTTACAGAGGATGCTTTCCCGATGGAAGGGCCAACCACAGCCACAGCCAGTATTAACTCAACAGGGCCAGACGTGATCCCCACTGAAAATGATCCCCCCACGACAACAGAACAAGGTGAGTGTACAACAAATGAAATTCATTTTCTGTTTCAACTTAAACCACGTCCCTATTCCCCGTCACAGCTACCCAGGCCCAGTATTTCCCAAGCCATGTGGAGCGGCACTATTACTGCCCTAGATTTATGTATTATCCCTAAATGGACCTCCAAGAATAACATTGGCTTTACTCACAGCAGCAGAGCACAGATCAGAAGAGGTTATCGACCAAGGCTATAAGCAGGTCTCACCCAGCCTATTCTGTTTGGAACAAAACTTTTTGTCCACCCACAAGTTTTAAAGGATTTCAGTCACATTGCTGGCTCAGTGCCTCTGCTTGAGGATACGCTATTGATAGTGGAACGAGGAGAGCACCCTCTTGCCTTCGTGCGACTCTTTCTAATGCGAGTTAACATGTATATCATGTGATCTGCAGAGACAAGCTTTAAGATAGGAGAAGCGAGCACAGCTTCCTCTGCGATATCCCCAGAAGTGACGCTCGCTGAGAGGGGGCCCGATGAAGCTATCAGACAAGGTAGCCGTAATGGTTTTCTCAGTTACATCTAATGAAAAATGGGTCTCGGTGTACAGCGAAGGTACCTTTACAGATGGTTAGGCTGTTATAAACCTGTTACGGACATGGATAGCATGTGTTATTGATGGTTAGAAGCGTCTCAGCAGTGATGTAACAATCTCTCTAATACCTGCCGCTGAGGTGCTTATCACCATCTGTAAGTGTTGGACTGGACCATTCTATGATTTCCCATTTATTAACATATGTAGCTCTCATTAACCCCTTATACACTATTCACAAATGTCCCTTTACAATAAAAGGTGGATAAAAACGGACTCGGAGAAGGGATGTTCACTTGCTTTGTGTTTTTAAGCAACTTTAATTTCCAGTCTAAATGACCCTGCATTGCCTGCAACTATCAGAGGCACAAGGACTTTTTTCCCCCTCCCAAACACCCTCTCTGCTCCATGACAGCGCCACTGTCCTTCCAGGCTCCCCATCTCAATTTTATTTTCAGCACCTCTGTGCAGAGTTTAGAGAGTTCCCCAAGACAGTTGAGAGTGGTCATTCTTGCACACCCCAGGTCTCAGCATGCTTCATCAGGAGATCTCCCCTGTGTGTTAGACATGGTGAGAGGAATGGCCCCAAAGCTAGGGGGCTATGGATAGTCAGGAGCCAGAGGGCAGGGGCAAGCCAGCATTTCTCAAACGATTGAATTATTTAAGTTGACTTTTCGATAATAATTACTCATATTCTGGTAATGCTCAGAGAGCCCAGTCTGGGATCAGGGCCCTGGAGGACGAGTGGAACCAGAGAAAGAGGGTCACACTTCAGAAGGGACATAGTTTGGGGTGACACCAGAGGCTCAGGAATGCAAGCTGGGGCCAGGCTGTACCAGACAAACATGGGTCTCTCGGCACATAACAGTGAGAAAGATTTCTTTCCTTCAATTCTGACTGTTTGCTGCATCACTAATTACTAAGGCCCCATTGTGCTGAGCACTGTGGAAACACACTGTAGAAACGCAAACTCTTCCCCAAAGGTCTCTCAGTAGAAATAAACAAGACAAAGGGAGTATTATCACTGTTTTACAGCTATGGGGACTGAGGCATAGAGGGACTAAAGTGATTTACTGGGGATCACACAGGAAGTCTGTGGCAGAAGTGGAGATCAAACCCAGATCTGAGTCTTAGTCCAGAGCCTTAACTGCAAGACCATCCTTCTTCTCAATAGGCAGTTAATAGGTTGCTCGCTCCTCTGGTAGCCAAACTTAATTAGGAACATTTTTAAAGTTGACCATGGAGGAATGTCACACACACATACCACCTTAGCATTAACGGCATACGTGGGTTAACTGGCACAAATTCCATTTTGAAAAATGCTCCTATTACAGCCCGGCAGGGGATTTTGTTGTTAATCCCACTCCCGTCCTGCCCCACAATATCCACTCCCACTCGCTCCCACATTGTTGGGGGAATTTTTATCCTGCTCCCACTGTTATGGGACCATAGGATCCCTGTCCTGGGGCAGTGCTCTAGCTCCTACCATTCCTTCCTTCAGACACAACACAGCCATTGTCTTGCTCCCATTCTTTCCTCTAAGTAAGCTCTAGATTTTAATCAATCCGTTTTCAGAATGAGTCAAATCTTAGTGCATTGCATTCTTATTTCTGACCATCTTAAAATGGCGTTGAGAACCTTGGGAGAAAGACCCACTTTAACCTGAAACATTACCTAAGTGCAAAACATTAACATCACAACCCCTTTTAATTTGCATCTTACACTTGCAGAGTGAAAAAAAAGCTTTCCCTTCATGAAAGTCTGTGTTCCCATTTTGACTATTCTCTGCCTCTCTTTTCTTAATTATGCCCAGCTGGCATAACGACATTTAATTACTCGCCAGTGCCTTTGTACAGGAGATCTCATTTCATCTGCCTTTTCCTTCTCCACAAAGAAATAGTCATTAGAATCTATTCTAAGCAAAGGCAATTTGTGCTCAATGTAGGACAGCCAGTTTAAAAACAATTACATGGAGATAATATGGGAGTTTACCGAAGTTTACCTACTTCAGCTAGGTTTAAAGTTGGCCATGGTTTTGGTTCAAGGATAGAAATATTGGGATGGTCTTTAAGAATAGCACCAAATAAAATAATTAAGTAAATGAAGGAAAATCTAATCCTAATGAAAAGGCAGATGCAGGATTTCTCAAGTCATCTAAAACTACAGTTGTAGTCCCATGAGTCTAATTTGACTAAACACATTTGACCTCCTTTAACAGTATGCTACTACAGCCGTTATTTCTGTTATGCTCATACCTAGAGGTCCTGAACACACATAGTAGAAAGACTGTAACATTGTATAATTATGTATTTGTATTACCATAGCGACTTGGGGGTCCTAGTCATAAATGTGCTTCTCCCGTACTAACACAGAACAAAAGCTGATCCAAGAGGCTTACAGTCTTGCATACAATTCTGCTGAAGACCCTGTGAAGCATGTGGTATTTGGAAATACATACAAGTTGTAAGCCACTCACCATTTTTATGAAAATCAGCCGGTAAATTCAGACCCATTCCAGAGGACCCTGGGTAATTAGAGAGACGCTCAATAAGGTTCTGAGGAGAGACGTGGATTATGGAAGGCAGAAACTATGTAAAACGAGTAAGAATTTGAGGGAGTCTGTGGTAGCTCTGAATGTTCCAAACAAAGAGAAGACATGGGCTCTGCCCTGAAGAATGTCCAGTGTCAAACTCTGCATGTTACTTAGTAAACAAAATGTCTCTCTTTGCAGTCTGTGACAGATTCACCTTTCTGCAAATGAGAGGGAATGGAAAGGTGAAGCAGGAGCTGCTTCAGCTAGGAGAAATGCTGTTTTGCTTGACTGATCGATGCCCACAGGAATTTGAATATTATGGTTGCTACTGTGGCCAAGAAGGAAGAGGTTATCCTACAGATGTACTGGACAGGTGCCGGCTCTTCAACAACCTTCTAGTTAGCACTGTCTGTTGTTAATCATGTGTATTATAGTGTTGCCTAGGGCCCACCCAAGATCAGGACTCCATTGTGTTAGACCCTGCCCTGAAGAGCTTTTCTAAACAGATAAGACAGACATGGTAGGGAAAAGGCTAGACCAGGGGTTCTCAAACTGTGGGTCATGACCCCAAAGTGGGTCCTGACCCTGTTTTAATGGGGTCATCAGGGTTGGTGTTAGACTTGCTGGGGCCCGGGGCCAAAGCCTGAGCCCCACTGCTTGGGGCCAAAGCCAAAGCTCAAGGGCTTCCACCCTGGCTGCGGGGCTCAGGCTTTGGCTTCAGCCCTGGGCAGTGGAGCTCATGTTATAGGCCCCCTGCCTGGGGCTGAAGCCCTTGGGCTTTGGCTCACCTGTCCGGGGTGGGCAGAGCTCAGGTGGGCTGAGGCTTCAGTCCCCCATTCCTGGGGTCACGTAGTAATTTTTGTTGTCAGAAGAGGGTCATGGTGCAATGAAATTTGAGAACCACTGGGCTAGACCGTTCAAGCATAGCAATCAGTGGGATTGTGACAAATGTAATGTTAACGTCTCAGATTTGAGGGGTAGAGTGGTTAGGAGGGGCAAGGAGGGCACAATAGGTGAGGAGAGGGAGGGGAGGAAGTATGAGGAGCAGGTGTGGAGTGAGGCTGAGGTAAAGCATACTCAAGAAATGGATGGGTTGAATAGTAACTTGCAGATAGACAAGTTAGTCTGTTAATATAGATCTATGCTGCACTATCCTTTTGAAGAATGTAAACACCAGGCGTGAAATCCTGACCCCATTGTGGAGTTTTGCATTTACTGGAGGATACATCTAAGAATGAGATAAAATTAGAGAAAATTCACACTAACTCTAAGGAAAGGGAAATCTTTCTCAGGGTGAGGTCCAGTAGCATGTTGAAACGTCACCCTAGGGGAAGTGATGGAAGTCCTGAACCATCTCAAGTTTGACTACTGGAATACATATCGTAAGGAACTAGCAGGAAAATAGACTCTCCGAGTATAGGTCTTCTCCAGTCCTAACTTATATGACTTATTCCATGGAAGGATTTAGCCCTCACGATACTAGCAGTTTCCAAGTTGTCAGTCAGCTAAAGTCTGAGGGAATATGAGAGACAGATGCCCAGTTTTTGAAAGGATTACTTACGCAATTTATTACATCAGACAAGTTAAAAAAAAAAAAAAAAAGTCTGGTCTCCCTTCCAAAGAACTCGCAGTTGAATAAAGACAAAAGCAAGTGACTGAACGAATGAGAAAGTAATAGTAAGATGATGAAAAGCTTTATTTAACAACTTGTTTGGATAAGAAACATTTTTTCATTAAAGGTTAAAACAAATGTATTCCCAGTTTCAAGATGCAATGAAAATGAATAGCCAACTAATAGCAAATACTGGGAGATGAGTTACTTTTAAGAAAGGTAAACATTTGTTCTTTGTTTTAGGTGCTGTTTCTCCCATCAATGCTGTATGGAACAAGTTAAAAAACTCGGGTGCCAGATAGAGGGAAGTTTGAGATCTGAAGTTGTATGTTTAGATCATAAACCAAAGTGTAAGTTTGGTCTGATGATTAAATTAATGACATTCCCCTTGAGCAAAATAGAGATCAGTGTAGAAGCACACAACTAGAACCGAATCACAGAAGTTAGAAACTGGAAAAAAAAAGGGGTTATATTAACAGTGCTCTGACAGCCATTTGGAATTGGCCTTGAGTAGGGGAAAAAAGTGATCAAGTTTAGGTTAGGCTTAGCTAGAATGCACAAGCTAAGCTTGTCCTAAGCCTGAGCACTTTTCCTAGTTAAGCGAAACAGTGTTGTCCACAGAGCACTGGTGGCCCCCAGGGTATGGCTGGCTTCTATCAGTAGGTGGGCACCTGAATGCAAACTGGTCCGTTTCAGAGTGCTAACATCTCCAAGTCCCACTGAAGTCAATGGCAGCTGCAGTTGCTCAGCATCTCTGAAAAATCAGATGACTTGTATTTAGATGATGAAGTGATAAATCCTAACTATGGATTTAGAAGCCTGAGTTTGAAAACTGGGGTTATAGCTTTACTATAAGAGGTGAGCTGACCACATGTTTTTAAAGCTGCTTGCACCAATTACGATTTGCTGTCAGCCATTTTTCAACTTTAAAACCTCCCTTTTAAGGCATTGGCTGGAGCATGTGCGAGAAGCTACTGTGTACCTGTGATAAGACAGCTGCTGAGTGTATGGCTGCCGCCTCTTTCAATGAAAGCTTGAGGTTTCTAACCAGGCGAGCATGCCAAGAGAACAGAGTCTCATGTTGGAGCGGAACAGCTGAAAGGCCTGCAGGGGTCACTGGAGTAGGCACCCGAACCTCCAGCTCTGAGGAGAGCAGCGAGGAGGCAGGTCCGTGGAGGAGGGCTTTAAGAAGAATAAAGAGAGCTGCACGCCACCCCCCGGGAAAAGCCAGAGCCACACCACAGGAGAGATAGCCAAGTCTCTATAGCCAATTGGGAAGTGGCATGGAGGTGCCACCATCAACAGCTGTGTGTCCTATTTCATCTTATCTTTGTAAAGTCTCTTCTACATGTTCGTACAGACCCCAGATTGAATTACTGACTAGGTAACGGGTTATATACGTTAGGATATAGAACTCTGTTCTACAGGGAAACGTGCCCTAAGGACCATTTCCATCTGTCTTACATGATTATTTGAAAGTATCTAGTAGTTTTGTTCAGCTGTTTTGTAAAGACCCCTCTGTCAGGTGACTGATTTTTGCTAACACCTCCGGCACTTGGTTACAATTTATTTTGCTTTGTATTGGAAATGAGATGTGTCTCACTGGAAACAAACACACACACACACACACAATTGAAGGGTTGGAATTAGAATTTGATACATTTTCATGTTACATGCCACTATGTGTGTAGTTAATGCAGAACTCCTCCATGATTGTAAAATACCAAGCTTAAGATCCATGCTATACTAGTTGCGTAACTATGGTAACACTCTCTGGCCAATATCCTTCTTGAATATTCAGGGACGGGGTGGGAGGAGATGAGGAAAATCTGTCAAGACACATCTCCAAAAAAATGAGCAGATGTCTGCGGTACCTCTACAGAGGTCACCCATCCAGGCTTCAGGGTGCCACAGAGCACATGTTCTCCTTTCAACAACATGGAGCCCCTTCCTATTACATCTTTGGCTGGCTGAGGCCTTAGTTTCCGGTCTATCCCCATTCGCTGTGAATTTTCTTGCCCCGCCTCCTACTGGCTCTGCATGTCAACGGGCAATTGTAACATGCTGCAGAGTTTTATAGGTCTCCAATTTCCCTTTTGTATATTATGTAGACAGGGAGCACAGTGGCATCTTCTGATCAGAACTCATGCACGGGGGCCAAATGATGTGGGGAAGCCTGCATCTCTACTGGCCATGCTGTGACTTTTCTTTGGAGAAACAAACTTCAGCTTCCAGGAATATGGCATGATGCCAACAGTACTAATTTAATAGGTTGCTCACATTAAACTACATTTTTCCTTCCTGTGGCCCACTGTCACGCTTCCCTTATGCCATCTGCATGGAATCAGTGGAGTTACACTGTTAAACTATAGCAGCAAATCAGCCTCTTTCCTGTCCCCCTTTTAGAAAACAAAACAAAACACACCATTGTGAGCTGTAATGAGACCTTTGAGGAGTGGGTGGGAGAAAATTAAAAATCCTTATTCCCAGAATCATTGAAAAATTGAACTGGGAACAATAGCAAATCTAGAGTAATCTGCACTTTTTGCTGCTTTCTGTGGCAGCTACGATTTATTATTATGATGGATGGTTCCAGGCCTTTCCATTGCAGAGTTTTCTGAATGACTTGCTTAATAGGACAACACTGATTTATATAGGTAAGGCTATTGCTACTTAGCAGCTAAGCAATGAAGTACACACAACGAGGTGTTAATTTCAAAGCTTATCATAGAATCATAGAATATCAGGGTTGGAAGGGACCCCAGAAGGTCATCTAGTCCAACCCCCTGCTCGAAGCAGGACCAATTCCCAGTTAAATCATCCCAGCCAGGGCTTTGTCAAGCCTGACCTTAAAAACCTCTAAGGAAGGAGATTCTACCACCTCCCTAGGTAACGCATTCCAGTGTTTCACCACCCTCTTAGTGAACAAGTTTTTCCTAATATCCAATCTAAACCTCCCCCACTGCAACTTGAGACCATTACTCCTCGTTCTGTCATCTGCTACCACTGAGAACAGTCTAGAGCCATCCTCTTTGGAACCCCCTTTCAGGTAGTTGAAAGCAGCTATCAAATCCCCCCTCATTCTTCTCTTCTGCAGGCTAAACAATCCCAGCTCCCTCAGCCTCTCCTCATAACTCATGTGTTCCAGACCCCTAATCATTTTTGTTGCCCTTCACTGGACTCTCTCCAATTTATCCACATCCTTCTTGAAGTGTGGGGCCCAAAACTGGACACAGTACTTCAGATGAGGCCTCACCAATGTCGAATAGAGGGGAACGATCACGTCCCTCGATCTGCTCGCTATGCCCCTACTTACACATCCCAAAATGCCATTGGCCTTCTTGGCTTTGATGTGACTAATTAAATGTTAATGCTAGGAAGTAAATTATCTACTTAATCAAATCTCACTGAGAGTTAAATCAACAGCAGCTTCATTGCTTTCGATGCTGGCATATGTTCTGGCACCAATTTTAATCTCATTGCTTCATCTCAGTTCTGATTAGCACCAACAGTGCAATGGGATCCATAGATTTTAAACCCAGAAGGGACCACAATCACCTCCTCTAACCTCCTGCATAGCAAGACCATAAAATGTCAGTCAATGGGACTAGTCAGATGTTTCAGAATGAGTAGGGACGTGTGTATGTTTCAAAGGTCAGGGTCTTGAACAGAACAGGCTCTTCCCTCCAGCCCATTCCATGCTTTGCAATTCTTGGTCTCCTAAAACTCACAGTAGACATGGAGTTGTGAACAAGAAATTCTCCCTGGTGGCTAAATAAATGTTTAACCAGTTTGCATGAAAGTTTTTTTTAATTCTAACTTTGAATTGTGTATGAAAATAAAAGACAGGTTGCCTGGGATATTTTCTTCATCATCTAAAAAAAATCTAAGCAAGTTTTTAGTTTAGAAGTTAAATTAAAGCAGTCTACCACTTTCTGATTTATGACCTAAAATACTGAATATAATCTCATCCCATATATTAAAGTAAATATTTCATTTTTAGTATTTGCGGAAGATTTCTGGTGGTGCTGTCATAGTACGCTTTAACTTAATTAGATCTATAAAATTACTGACAATCTTTACTACAACTGTTGATTTGATTTTACTGTAAATGTGTGAAATGGATATTCAAACAGAAAATTAACTTGAAGTAAACAGTTGACAGTGTAATAAAACCAAATGTCAAATGTCACCCTCTTTCAGGCTCCTCTTGAAACAAATGAAGAATTTCCACTAACATTTTTTTACAATAAAGACACTTGCTACTAACTTATAATTGCAACATCTTATCTTTATTATAGTGATTTTTCTGAAATTGTTTCAGTATTTCTTGTCTAGATTCCTGTTTTAAGGGTCTGCAACTCAGTCATCAGAACTTTGCTCTGTGTTGAGCGCAAGTACGTTGTGTGGCCAACAATTAGAGCAAAGGCTCTGGAAGCAGAAGGCCTGCGTAGGTTCTTCCACATCATGAAGTTACTTGACTTTGCCCATGTCATCTGGTCTTTTTGCCTTAGTCAGTATTGTGAGACTGTTAGGTAAATATGCAAAATTCCCTTAAAATCCAGTGCTGCATCTGAATGTTCTTTGATAACTAAATTATCACAAAACCGAGGCATATAGGATACTTACTGTCTTTTTAAAAAAAGCAGTACAAGATTAGACCACTGTGGAAAACACCACAGTGCAGCAGGCTGGACTAGATGACCTTGAAAGGTCCCTTCCAGTCCTGCATTTGCTAATCATTTGCAACGGAGCAAAACCAGTAGAGTGAGCTTGCTTCAGTGACAGAGCAGAGGATTACTGTGGGTCTGCTGGAGGTACAAGTTACCATCACAGTTCATAATTAAGAAAGCAGCTAGCAAATGTTTAGGGAAATGTCCCACACATAAGGAGTGAAAATCCTGACCTCATAGATGTTAATGGGAGTTTTTCCATTGCATTCTATGGGACCCGGATTTCCCCCCCCCCCCAGGACTTTTAGGGAAAGCCCAGCAAAGGAATAGCAACATGAAAAACTGAAGGGAGGGATAGTATGTGGTTGTGAATCCTCCCGTTAGTGGAAGGAATCACTTCCCTCATCAATTGAAGTACGTACACCTTTTAAAATACAAGATTGGTGAAGAAAACTGATAGAAAGTTCTAAGCCTACAACCCCGCATTAACATTTAATCACAAAAGGTGTGAAGGTTGGCAAAGTGGAGGGTTGGCGAAGTGACTTGAGAAATTACATCCACAGGCAAATCCAAACGAACCTCACACATTCCTTCAAGATGCACTGCTAAGTCCAAAAGTGATCATTTAAATATCCACTTCAGCAAAAAAACAGGATTAATCTACAAAATGTCACTGCCCGTTCTTTTCATCTGACACGGAGGATGAGTTTTGATACTAAACAATAGGTATTCATACTAATTTCAGAACTGGACTTTTAGAAGTTCTCTTAACAGCCTTTTTGGCAGAATGACTGCAATTTGTTTTCTACCCCATGTCATTTACAAATAAAAAGTGACAACAAAGAGGTCAGTCAGCTAATTAGCTGAAAGGAAAAACTGGCCTTTGAAAGAAATGAATTTGACAATTAGCAAATTCAAATGAGCACAAGCTAATTCCTCTAATATAGATTGATATTGCTGCTTTGAAACCCTCAGATAAAACTAATGTTTCAAAGAAAGTCCTTTCTGGCAACTGTTAGGATTTAATATTAGATGCAGAACTTTCCAGCTCATAATGAACACAGTATGCTCATTCAGAGATAAAGTTACATGCCAATAATGCCTCCATCAGCTTTATTTAGCTTCACAGACTGCTCCACTCAAATGATCCTTACTTACCTTATGTTAGACAGACTACATTATAAGCGTGCTGCTATTTTACCATGACAGTTAGATAAAGTCACGAATACTTTCTGCGGGCATATTCCCCACCTCTGGCATTTCATGAAGAATTTAACATTCGCTAAGCCAGTTAACATTACTACTTATATCTAAATCTGTACAAATTAAGTCTCCAATCCTGAAAAGAATTTACTCACATGCTTAATTTTGCTCATTGAGTAAGCCCACCGAAGTCATTGAGATTACTCAGTGGGTAACGTTAAGCAAATGCGTAAGTGCTTGCAGGATCAATGCCTATAAAAATGAAATCTTAACTGAGCATCAACTGTATTTAATCACCATTAGAGTTCAACGAACAGAATCCATCTCCATGATATATATATATATAACAATTAAATGAAGCAGAAATCTATGAAAGGAATTTCTAGTTAGGTCCAAACCACACAGTAACTTTTCACTCTACTTGTAACTGGTAAGGAGTATGGTTGGCTAAAAGCATGCTGTGTGTCTGTAGTAGGCAGTGTTAATACACTTAGCACAATGGGGTCCTGGTCCATGAAGGGCTCCTATGTAATTAATAGCTAATGACTGCTTACTGCCTCTGCTAGATAATTAGTCTGGCATGTGATCTGGTTGCTGTCACCATTTAGGCAAACTTATTTTTGCCTGTGGCCTAATCAGTAGCATAGACTTGAGTTCAATCAACAGTCCCACTGGAGTCTGGGAACCCAAACGACCTTCAAAGTCCTCTGGCATTTCAGGAATATGGTAACCTTGATCCAAAAAAATCAATAGGACTAGCTTTATTTGCAGTACTATGACCCCCGAATGTAGATTTCCCCGGATGTAGATGCCAGAGTATGCCCAGGCAGCAACAGTCCTGTATTCTTGGGTAGTCTCTAAACTGCTATGACTACTACCCAGAATGAAGTTGCTGTCATACAGCTGGATTTGTTCTGGCTGCTGCCTGTTCACGCAGGGTTGCTCTATATTTAAAAGGTAGGTTGACATAACTACAGTAGTCCAGGGTGTGAAAAAGCCAATACAGCTCACCCCCAGTGTAGACGCAGCCATGTTGTTGGAAGAGTGCTTCGGTGACAGATACTTTTGTTTAGGAAAGTGATATTCCTACACTGATGGAGAAATCCCTTTTGGTGGGCTAGGCTGGGTGTACACTACAGGGTGATAGCGATGTCAGAGCCTCCTTAGTGTAGAGACAGCCACACCCCCCTATACCCACACCGCCAAACACATATGGTCCAGACAGCCATGACATCATCCTGCCAGTGGGCAGGGTTTGACCTGGCTCAGAATTTGCCCTTATTGTTCAATTTGACATTATAAATGGACAGAAGCCCTTCATTTGTCCACCTGGTTTACACACATCACCTCACTCAGAATGTAGCTACCCCTTTCTGCCCTGCATTGCTTCTGGGCTGTCCCACCAAAATCCATAAGCTAGTAATCACTGCAATCTGGAGGGCCAGGAAGGGCTCCATGATGCAAAATAGTCACTTTTTGAGATAGAGGATTATGGGATTTGTGAAAGAAAGCGTAAGCATAAAGGGTGCGGGGGGATGGTTCTTAAAGATAGCATAGTTCATAGGCTATCCAGAACATACCCCTAAAAAAGTTATAAGAATGCTAGGTTCGGGATGAAGGGGGGCAAATAGGCTGTGATGGTAGAAAAGCTGTGTTTGGACAAAACCCCCAACATATTAACCTGTAACTATAAGCTGAACATGCCTCTAGCTGGTTGCAAAATCATAGTGTAGCATGGATAGATTCTTATATGTGGCTATCAGCAAAAGCTACAATATTATTCCCTAAAATGACTATAACAATGTGTTAGA